AAAAATCCTAGGCTGGAATCCTGCACCCAGCAGCAAGTTTACACTGGAATCATGCACCTAGCAGCAAATCTACCAAATTTCCAACAACAAAAGATGCAAGGGATTCAAAATTATACCTATGAGATGCACGGATTGGGGGTCCTCAGGGCTTTTTGCTGTTTTGTCTTTTGAGCTTGTGTGTTTATTGCCCTTCCCTTGAATCTCTCTTGGATCCGCAGACCTTACACAGCGAGCACCAATATGAGTACCTGCAGGGGCAAAGAACACACATCTCTACATATCACACATTTTTACAGATCAGGATCCAACATAAATTCTGGAATTACTCTTACCTTCGGATGGATATCGGAAGGCACTGATGCTGCGAGATCGAGGACCATCATGGATGCAGGTGAACATTAGTGACGGTGCTGGTAGAGGGTTGAGACAGAGGCATGTACCAAGAGGCATCCTCCACCTTCAGATCAGGCTCCTTAAGTTCGCATGAAGCCAATCAACAGAAACAACAGACCCATTTGTAAACATAAATTGTGTTGTAAACTCTGCTCGTGCCCCAGCTAGTAACGAAGCCATTGCACTAGGAACCCAAACCGATGCTTTATATTTCGTATAGGCAGGGTCAGCTCGTAAGTGTTCTATCCCCCTATTGAACAGAGAAGAGAAAATTTGGGGGCTTTTGACAGAGTGAGTATGAAGCGGCGTGGAAAAGGCGATGATGACCCAAGCGAGTCCTTGCTATGAGATCTACAAAGCATTCGAATTTGGGTTGGGAATCCAACAGAGATGCTGGTTTCGATTTTGACAGAAGAAGCAAAGGACTTTGGGTTTGAGAGAAATGACGAAGCAGCAGAGGAGATCGATTTTTCACAAGGCTAAGGTTTGAAGACAATATGGAGTGGAAGTGGAGTTTTATTGTGGATAAGAAAATTTTGTTTGGCAAGTAGCATATGAGATGCTGGTTTGGGTTTTGACAGAAGAAGAAACGGACTTTGGGTTTGAGAGAAATGACGAAGCAGCAGAGGGTTTGAGAGAAATGACGAAGCAGCTCAGTTCGTGAAAAGGAACTGACACCGCAGCTACTACCCCATTATATTATATGTGTTGCTCAAATATGACACAAGTGTGGACTTGTGCGAGTTGGTCAGCTCGTCGTTGCAAGATCCCCGCTCCTGGTCTTGCCTTCGAACCCCTGTGGTGTCACATTTCTGGGTATTTTCTTTCCTATTTATTTTCTTTTCTCTGTTCAATAGGGGGATAGAACACTTACGAGCTGACCCTGCCCATACGAAATATAAAGCATCGGTTTGGGTTCCTCGTGCAATGGTTTCGTTACTAGCTAGGGCACGAGCAGAGTTTACAACACAATTTGTGTTTACAAATGGGTCTGTTGTTTCTGTTGATTGGCTCCATGCGAACTTAAGGAGCCTGATCTGAAGGTGAAGGATGCCTCTTGGTACATGCCTCTGTCAAAAGCCTCTGCCAGCACCGTCAGTAACGTTCACCTGCATCCATGATGATCCTCGATCTCGCAGCATCAGTGCCTTCCGATATCATCCGAAGGTAAGAGTAATTCCAGAATTTGTTTTAGATCCTGATCTGTAAAGATGTGGGATATGTAGAGATGTGTGTGTTTTTGCCCCTGCAGGTACTCATATTGGTGCTCGCTGTGTAAGGTCTGCGGATCCAAGAGAGATTCAAGGGAAAGGGCAATAAACACACAAGCTCAAAAGACAAAACAGCAAGAAGCCTGAAGACCCCCAATCCGTGCATCTCATAGGTATAATTTCGAATCTCTTGCATCTTTGAGTGAGCGCTTGTTAATTGCCTGAATTGCCAGCATAGTGTATATGTGGTGATGTTAATGTAGACCTGCTGCTGGGTGCATGATTCCAGTGTAGACTTGCTGCTGGGTGCAGGATTCCAGCCTGGGATTTTTTTTGCTTTTGATGTTTGCTGCTGATTGTTTTTTATTTATTTATTTATTTATTTCCATTTTCTAGGATTTAGTTGTTTGGTCTACTCTTGTTTCTTTTGCTTATTTTCCACACCTTGAGGACAATGTGTGATTTAAGTTTGGGGATAGGAAAGTAATTTTTTTTGACTCTTGTTTAAAATTTTCGTTTTTAAGTTAATATCCATAGATTATT